TAACCGACCTAGTGCAACACCGTCTGGACATTGCTAAGGAGCTGGGCGCCACTCATACTCTGCTGCTGACGCGTGATGAGAAAGCTGAGCAGGTCGTGGACTGTGTACGTCACACAATGATTGAGGACCCCGACATATCGATTGACTGCTGTGGAGCAGAGAGCAGCACACGCTTGGCAATCTTTGTAAGAACACTCCTAAATAAATGTCACTTATAACTATTCTTCAACATGTCCGCCTGTCCAAAGGCAAACTACAATAGTAAAGCTATAATATTTTCCTAAGCGACCAGTAATACGTGCTAATCAGGGAACACTAAACGTTTAAAGTGCAGCCATGCTGAAAGACATACTCGTGTACAAATTATATTAAATTATTGGAAGCTTGGAAAGACGGATTGTATATATTATGAATATATGAACAATTTTTTAGTTGAGATCCGGCAAATTCCTCAGGAGATTTATTAAAAACAGTTTATTCAACAGCAAAAATACATATGTATATGTACTTATATTCTAAAAATCCATAAATATAAAAAGATAAAGTATTGAGAAGGGCATGGCAGAAGGTATTCTTATTAACTTACTTTTCTTTTACTCCAGGCTACACGAGCAGGAGGTGTTGTTGTTATCGTTGGCATGGGACCGCCTGAAATGAAGCTGCCTCTATTCAATGCCCTGGCACGAGAAATTGACATTCGCGGTGTCTTCCGTTACTGCAATGAGTGAGTGAAAGCCTAATTCCTTATCCAAATATACAGGTTGAAAAATTCTTTGTCATTGTAGCTATTCCGCTGCTTTGTCCCTGGTGGCCTCTGGAAGAGTAAATGTAAAGCGGCTTGTGACCCACCACTTTGATATTCAGGATACCCAAAAGGCATTCGATACAGCTCGTAATGGCAAGGGCGGTGCCATCAAAGTTATGATACATGTTCAACCTAGGAATACCAACAATCCAGTGAGATGTTAGATTGTAGTAAGCTCTGGGTTCAGAAAATATGGTTTCGAAAATATGTAATACGTATAGTCAGAAAGAATAAATATTTTGGTTTGGTGCAAAATTTCAACTTTGTTCTTAGAGTGCTTCGTGTCGGCACTTTACACTTGGAGGAAAATAGTTAAAATGTCCAATATGCTGTACTGGCGGTTGTCTCAATCTCTTTGCACCGACTCATTTGTTAGGCTGGTTTCCTGCCGTTCATTGGTTCCTATGATTCGTTACTTACATGAAGATAGAACTGATCCCAATTCTGAATTTAAAAAGCTATTGCTACAACAAATGAAGAAGAATGCTGAACTGAAACGCGAAGCTGCTAAGGAAAAGCAAAAGGCAGACTCCGCCGTTTTATCTAAAGACAAAAATGTGAATCCACCGTCCAATATCGATATAGCTGAGAACAGCAAAAATCTGTATGGCTCTGAGTTCCCAGTCAAAGTGAACCCAACCTCTAGTGATTCATTGGAGTCCCGCTCATCGACTGTGAGTCAATCTCATAATAAGGAGAGCAAGTTGATCTCAAATGTAGAGGCATTCAAAAAGAGGACGAAAAGCTTTGTTGAATCAGCCTTAGTAAAAAGAAAAGGGTCGAAACGTCAACGGCTGTCGAGTGAAAGAATGTCAAAAAAACTCAAAATAGAAGAAACTCAGAAAAAATTAGAAAATGACAACTTAAATCTACCAAGGGCAAATAATGATAATTCCAAAAATAAGCCTGTCGATGAAAGTGAAAATGACGAAAGCGTGGGTGATGAAAAGTATCATGCTGAAGCTAAAGCAGAACTTGCAAGAAGTATAATTGCGTTCAAAACAGAACGGATGATGAATGAAAGTAAAATCCTTAAGGAGCAGAACAAAAGTAAACTAGAAGCAGATAAAATTTCAGCTAATCTCTCGAGCAGTGATAAGAAAAGCAATGACAAGGTGAGGCTCAGAATCCAAGGGAAATCTGATACAAATATGAATCGAAAAACTGAAAGAACCAGAACCAGCACAAGCAAAAATGGATTTGAGCGTTTCATGACCAACATAAATGACAAAAATCAACAGGCTCCAAAACAATCCCAATCAACTTCCGACTCGGAGGACATCAAATCATATATGAAGAACAGATTTCTTGAATATATTTCTAAAGCTAAAAGTAGGGCCATGCAAAGTAAATTGAAGCAATCTGCTTCTCTAAAGGCTAGGAAGAATTCGAGTACAACTATCAAAACTGATTCAAATACAAATGATAATTTACAGAAGTCCTTAGAAATTAAGGGAGGATTACTCAAACCAAGAGCCAGTCTAAACGAAAGTGTATCTGAGGAAGGAACTAAATCAATTAAAATAGAAGAAATTAAAAATCCAACTCAAACCCAGTTGAAGACGAAGTCTGGCACAGAAATCAATTCTATATCGACTGCAAAGGATAATTCTAAAGCAAGCCCTCTTCCAGGCACAATAAGCAAAGAGGGCGTTTCGATCAAATCCGAAAGCCGAGAACCTAAATTGACAGTAATTGAAAGAGACTCTCTGAGAAGTAAACAAACTCAATGTCAGATTGAGACAAAGCCAAGTACAGCAACCAAAACTGAATTGGATACAAAGGATATTTCCAATATCTCCAATGAAAATAAGGAAGGGCTATCCAAAGCAAAGACCCTTCAGAGTGCATCGAGCGACAAGAGCGCAGCAACACCATCTGAGGCATTAAAAAATATGTCAAGCTTCACTACAAAAATTGATGAAGAGCTAATCAGGGCCAAGAAAGTGCAGAACTTACAGTCAGCAATGAAGGCTAAAGAGGCGAAATCCAAGAGCATCAAAAACAACAAGCCAAAACCAACAAAACCAAATTCGCCATCAAGCCTATAAAGCACTGAGCCCACAAGAACCCACCGCCAGCTGATGTTGATAATTTGTTTAAGTCGCTTAACCTTGTACACTACTCTCCAGTTCCGATATAAAGTTCGTCTAATTAAATAAAGATCGTTTTTAGTTTCACAATTTTCGAATCGAAATGTAGTAAAAAGCCGTAACGATAAAGTTCAACATATAAGTAATGCTTAGCATATTTATTACGTATTTCATAGCTTTATGTTAAGAAAAATCTTCATATGAAGAAAAATCAATGTCTTTTACCTTGGAATACTTCTTAGTAAAACAGCAATAACTTTTTTAATTGACTCAAGAAATTTAAAAAAAAATCATAGTTCTCGATATCGAATATATCGTGAAAAACTTCATAAATTATTTATAATTAGTAGCAAGTCATGTGCTGTATTTTAATGCCTAACTCTATAAAAATAAAAGTGAGCAAGAACTAAACAGCTATACGAGATTGGAATGCGCAGTGGACATTAGCTTTGGTGTGCTATATATTTTAGCTATTCAAGCAGCCTACAACATGTTGGATCCTTAGTGAAACTTTGAATTGTAATTTTGATTTTCCTGCATATACATATGTATGTAAATATGTTACATACAAATGATAGGCTAGGTAGGCAGGCCAGGTAACATTTGTCATTATTGTTTCAAAGTTGTTTAGCATCGGATAGATTATCATTGTTTGCTTGAGCTTAGTCTGGGCCAGACCTCAAAATTTATAGTAAAAAGTCTAATTTCATTTTATAGCCCGGCCCAAAGATGTTTACGCGAACAGTTGTTAGCTGCAATCCGCAGACATTAGCGAGGTCGTGCAACTCTTGCATGCAGCCCGTGATCACGTTCAGCAATTCTTTGTTTTGCAATGGACTCATGCAAAGGCTGGACAACTGCCAAATTACTACGCGTACAGTCGCCACTGACCAAACTGATGACACTATTGGTCGTAAGTTATATCGATTGGATGTAATGAGGCTTTCATTTTACGCGCCTCACTTACCCACAGGTGATCATAGTTCGAATGTTAAGATTACTGGACGAAAGCATAACGACAGCAAAGCTGCCCCAAAAGGCAAGCTACCGGTTCAAGGCAAGCCCGCCTCACGCAAATACAGGGTGTCTTGTCAACGCTTCTATATCGATGATTTTAGGCGGCGGGATGTCGGATCAATTTCACAAAGACGAAGGGAGTTGGTTTTTCGGCAGAGCAACGAAATGCTGAACGAACTGGAAAACCTGAGAGTTCATTGTGAAAGCTTGGTTCAACAGCACCCGGATGCCAATTTGGTCGAGCTGGAAGATTTGAATAGTGAGGCGAGAGCCATTGTCGACATATGCAAAGAGCTGAATCAGCAGCATGAGAGCGATAAAATGCCGGAGCATGTTAAAAATTCATCACATTTGGGAAATTCAGCTATCAAGCAAGATAAGCAGAAAAAGCAACAACACACTTTGAAAAGGCAATGCAAAGCGTTGGCAAAAACTAAGTCGTTACAATGGAAAAACGCAGTTGCTAGTGGAGAGGAGCAGCTTGAGCAGAAGGTTAAGGAACTGGCCCAGTATAAAGAGTCTGGTCAATCGGCCAAACAGCAAACGCAATCGAAGAATCAGATAGACAGGAATATGGATGACATATTTGACCACCTACATCAGTTTAGGCTCGAAAGGGAGCAGTTCGTAAGGCAACATGAAGTATTGAAAAGGCTGGAAGAGTTGAAGCATCAGTGCAGAAATTTGGCATACATGGCAAAGGTAAAGCCCATGGGGGCGATTGGTACTACAGATCCAGATAATTTCAAACAGCAGTGTAGAGAGATGTCGCGTAAGGCAAATAATACAAACGATGAAAAAAATAAAAAAACAAAGAAAGGGAAGGAAAGCAAGTGTGACGAGAAGGAGGCCAGTGAAAGCAAAGACAAGGGTAAAGGCGGAAAAGCAGATAAATCGAAAAAAGGAAAAGGAGACAAAAAGCAAGCCAAAGGTGAAAGTCAACAAAAAGAAAAGGGGAAGGCTAAGGGAAAGGGAGAAGGCAATAAAGCAGCTAAAGGCAAAGAAGGGGAGGGAAAGAAGACCGACGAAATGGCTGAGTGTGAAAAATTAGCTAAAGAAGAAGAAGATAGAAAGTGCAAAGAGCAAGCCATGAGAGAAGAGTGCGCGATATTATTCGAAGAGGAAAAGGCAAGGAAAATTAAAGAAGCGAAACAAAAGAAAAGCAGAGCATTTCAGAAAAAGCTGGAGCGCGAAAACAAAAAGAGGCAAGAAAGGGAGAAAAAGAAGAAAGAGATGGACAAGAAATGTCAAGAATTTGCACTGGAAGAAGAGTGTGCTAAATTAGCTGAGAAAGAGAAAGAACAGAAAGAAAATGAAGAACTGGCAAACAAATGCAAAGAGCTTTCCGAAAAAGATCAATGCAGTAAATCCGACAAAGGGAAAGATGAAACGAAACAAGACACCAAAGGGGACAAGGGCGATAAGGGAAAGAACGCGAAAGGTAAAGGTACAGATCAGAAACCAAAGGGAAAGAACGAAAAAGAGAAAGGCACAGATCAAAAAGCAAAGACCGATAACAAGAAAAAAACAAACAAGATAATGGCTACCTTTGAAGAACTCAAGGAGCATTGCCGAAATTTGGCTAAAATGGCGAAAGCTAATTGCAAAAAAGACGCACCTTGTAAAGTAGACCATATTGAAAAAGAATGCATGCAAAAAGGTCAAAAAGAACTGTGTGATAACGTAAATAAAAAGGGCAAAGGTAAGGGAGAAGAACAGAAAGGTAAAGCTAAGGGAGAGGAAAAGAAAGGCAAAGCTAAGGCAGAAGAGAAGAAAGGCAAAGCTAAGGCAGAAGAAAAGAAAGGCAAAGCTAAGACAGAAGAAAAGAAAGGCAAAGCTAAGACAGAAGAGAAGAAAGGCAAGGCTAAGGGAGGAGAAAAGAAAGAGTCGGGAAATAAATTAGCCCAATTAAAAGCTAATGCAGAGAGAAAGGCGAAACTAAAAAAATGCAAAGAGTTGGCTGAAAAAGATAAATGCGCCGCGTTAGCTAAGCAAGAAAATAAAGGAAAAAATCTAAAACAGAAATGCAAAGAATTAGCACAAAAAGAACAGTGCGCTAAGTTAGCTAAGAAAGGAAAGAAAAGTAAAGGGGAAGACGGATGCGAAAACGAAAATAATGACAACGGCACTGATCAAAAATTGGACAAAAAGGCACGATGTGCCCAATTGCTAAAGAAACAAAAAGCCAAGAAAAAAGCTTTGGCCGAAGAGAAACAATGTGCCGAATTGGCAAAAAAAGAAGAAGAACAGAAAAAGGCGTTGGCCCAAAAGGAAGCATGGGCTGAATTGGCTAAGAAAGCGAAGGAAAAATGTAAAAAATTAGCCGAAAAAGAACTGTGCGCTAAATTGGCTGAAGAGGAACAATGCGCTAGATTGGCAGAAGAAGAAAAATGCGCTCAACTGGCAGAAGAAGCGAAATGCGCTCAACTGGCAGAACAAGAGAAATGCGCTAAATTGGCAGAAGAAGCGAAATGCGCTAAATTGGCAGAACAAGAGAAATGCGCTAAGCCGGCAGAGAAAGAAGAGGGAGAGGACAAGGCCAAAGAAGGAAAAGGTGATAAAGATCTTGATGAAAGCTGTAAGAAATTGGCGGAGGAAGAACAATGCGCTAAATTGGCAAAGAAAGAAAAAGAGGACAAGAGCAATGATGGAAAAGGGAATAAAGATCTAGATAAAAAGTGCGCTAAATTGGCAGAAAAAGAAAAGTGCGCTAAAATGGCAGAACAAGAGAAATGCGAAAAATTATCTGAGAAAGACAAGGCGAAAGATGGGAAAGGTAATAAGGATTTAGATAAAAAGTGTGAGAAATTGGCGTTAGAAGAACAATGCGCTAAATTGGCAGAGAAAGAAAAGGGGAAGGACAAGCCAAAAGAAGGAAAAAGTGATAAGGATCTAGATAAACAATGTAAAAAATTGGCAGAAAAAGAACAAAGCGCTAAATTAACAGAGAAAGAAAAGAAGAATAAGAGCCAAGATGGAAAGGGTGATAAAGACCTAGATAAAAAGTGTGAGAAAT